AGAATCGTAGGCCCAGTAAGTACAGAGATCCCATGAGATAAAACTGGGGTAGGGTTTCCTCCACTGAGTATTTCTTACATGCATCTTATATTTCCTGATCACTTCCTTTCCTGTAGGGAAAGGACTTTGCACTTGTCGCCTCACAAGTGCAGAGAGCTGTGAGGTTTGTACAGTTGTTGCAAAAGGAATGACCATTTTTCTGCCCTTTCCCAGAGAGCTGAATGACAGTTTTTCTCCCTAAAGTCAAACTTCTGACACATGCTTACATAAATGCTTGATGTCACTTGCGTGAACACTGGCCTATTCACATACTTTATATTAAGGCCATACATAAGCTATGCTAAACTGTGGGTTTATTCAGTATGTACCACGGTGCAAGGTCACTAGTTTTCCAGAGACAAAGGAGGACTCTTAAAATGTGTGAAGAAAAGCTAACAAATAAAGCAGAGAGAGTAAGCCTTTAAAATAACATTTCAGTCCTTGTAAAAGATCAGTACCCTGTAAATGTGTTTGTCGTTATAATATTTCTGCAGACATGTACACTGCAAAAAGACATTTTACAATAGTTTTAAGGCTTTTTTCTACATTTCATTAATGCACTGTGAAAATGTGTGTCATTGTGTAAAATATCATTAGATTATAGTTCTCTGTCTTTTGTAGGTAGCTATTTTGAAAGTACTGCCAGAAACACACAGCACTCCCACAAATTGCCTTTTTTAAACTAAAGAACAGCTTTACAGATTCCCTTGACACCTATTAAGTATGAGCTAATACTGCCTCCAAGCCACCTACACACCATCTCAGCATCCATTCCATAGTTTTGAACGTCTGTACTTCTACATCCTACACCTTTTCTGTAAAAAAAAAAAAAAAAAAAAAAGAAAAAAAAAGAAGAAGAAGGAGAGAAAGAACAGCTCCCTCCCATCCTTCCTCCCAGGAAAAAAAAAGGAGGCCTGTAGCAGTAATTGAAACTTTGGTAGTCATCAATGACAATTTTACTTAATCTTTAAAAAATGTGTCATTTTGAAAAATAACATTTAAAACCCTAATGCTTTTCTAATTAAAATAACTATGACTGTAATTCACAGATGGTTTACTTTTACAGGAGTCTGAATGACATTAAAATTTCAGACTCAGATGAGAGCACTTTGTAGTCCAGAAAGCACTGAGAAGTGAGTGCTTTAGTGGAAGAACATTTTAACCTTTTTTTCCCCTAGGCAAGCAGAAAACATTTTGTGATTAGAGAAAAGACCAGAATGAAGACAGGTGGCAGCCTCAAAAACTGTTTTGTTATCTGGCATATGAAATTCCAACATTTTTCAGCATTATTGCTGTCACTGAACACCAGAACTGTGCAGAGGGCAGTGAGACTAGCTTGTTTTCAGTCAGCTTTAGAGGGTATCAGATTTAGTTCAAAGACTGAGAACACAGATCTCCAGCCATACTAACACAGTCTAAATGTGTTATAGCAGTTTCTTCTATACATGCTTCTGTCTAGAGCTCTGCTCTCGATAGACCTGGCACATGATGTAAAATCTATAAATAGCTTTTATCCGAATGTAAAAATGAATTTGTATTGACATTTTGTATTCCTTCATTCACTTAAAAATTGTAGCAGGCTTCTACTAATGAAGTTCATAGCATAAGTGATGCCACAATAACTCCGTTTCTATTGTTCCTAGCGTGCAGGACGGGAGAAAAGAGCGCTAATGCTTTGCATGTCCCCTAGCTAGCCTTGTGACTCCACAATGCCAGGCACTTGTAGCTAAACTGACCATAAGCTTGAGCAATTGTCTTGACTGTGATTTTGTGACTGCACACTGCAAAATAAATTGCAACTCAATGTTTAGTTAAGTTACACATTTGAAGTATAGCTTAGATGTGACCAGTGTGTTAACTATGAGACTAAGCGAGAATGGGGTTGTTAATTTTGCCACGGGCATTGCTGGTAATCAGGGCTTTTTTAAGGTTTCAAAATGTAACTTTCCATCCTCTTTTCTACTGTCAAAGTACCATAATATTGCCCTAGTAGAAAATAAAGTTTTAGAGACTTCCAGTGAGGAAGTAAGGGGAGAAACAAGCCTTTTGAGGAATGGAGGGAAAGAGGCAGAAATGAGGAAAAAGTGGATGATTTGGCATAGGCCTGAGACAGAGGGGGAAAAAGAGGCTCCAATGTGTTATAGAGGGTTTGTGGAAAGAAACAGCGGAGTATAAAGAGAAAATGTAATCAGAGTAGAAGAATATGATTTTATTAAGTATTTGTATCCAGGCTTTGGTTGTCTGAGAGCTACTCAGATACAAATGGTAATTATAATAACTACATGATAATTTAATTACAGTTAACCATATGAATAATAATTCAGTTATTCTTATAGAAGAATTCTGGATTTAAGGTGATATGAGCAAGAAGATGGAGGGTTTAGTAGCCAAAGCTAGTAATAAGGAAAGTTCAATATGTGTTTTGACAAGATGGATGGAAAAAATAGTTGTTTGATGAGCAATTATTACAGAATTCACAGGGTTTAGTGACAGAGTGGATGTGGTGGGAGGAGTCAAGGTGAAGTTGTGGTATCCTGGAAGAAAGTTGAAGGCATGAAAACAGAATACTTGATGGGAAGAGAAGAGAAAATTGACATGGTTTGCTGGGAAACCATGAAAAGTTTGCTTGTTCATGGTACAGGATTAGATGTCTAAAAGAGAAGCAAATTTAAACTGAAGAAGAAAGTGGTTGACCTCTTTTTCTCAGAACTTTTTGATGAAATAAGGAGGAAAAGAAGTGGGGATAAAAGGAAAGATTCCTAAGGGAATTTAGCAAGCCCTGGGATAGAAGCAGATTCCAGAATAGATGATGGATGAAGAAGGAAGTCAGAGTGCTAAGACAACCAGGCAAAGAGAGAATTTTGAAAGCACAGGAAGAAAAGTGAAAACTTTTGTTGGAAGTCAGCAGTCAAGAAAGTGAGGATGAGAGAATGTCCCTGAGAGCAGAGTATGAGAGCACAATGAAATCTCAGTGAGATTGCCTCAGATGAATATGAAGTTAAAAATTGGAAGGCATCACTCAAGCTGATCTATTAAGCAAAAATAAAGACAACATTTTACCAGGGTAGCTACCATTGTAGAAACAGGATTTAGGAAAAGGCAATATTGTTCTGGAATAATAACTCCAATTTGTAAGCAGAAAGATTATTCCAGAATAGATGGTCTGAACAGAAGAGCTGCTCTGGAATAGCTGAGTTATATTTCTGTGGCTGCACAGTTTTCTAAAATAGCTGTTCCAGGCATTTTCCACCATGCAAAGAAAGCCTATTCCCTATTTATGAGTTTCTACAATGGCAAGACAGGTAAAATGTGGGTTTTATCACCTTGCCTTCACACACTCTGCAATAACACAAAAAGGCCTATTTTATTGGGAAAAGAGGTACTAGCAGAAAAAAAATGTAGAAAGCATTCTAATTTTGCCATTTGAGTGCATCTGATTTTAACTGAAAGACTAACAGTTGCACCATCATTGTCTGTCAGCCCAAATTTCAGAATTAGAGACTTTTTAAAACATTTGATTCAAAATAGTTTCTCTCTAGAGTAGAGAAAAGGGAAGCCAAGGGACAAAAACGTGCCCCAGTCATTTCTGAATTTTGTTAATGGAGTTTAGACATGGTATATATGTCCTGGCTTTCTGTAGTTCGTCATTACCAGTGATGTACACCTGACAATAATGTTTGGATTAAAAACAATTAGTTGAAAAGGTGTGACAATCTCCCTGCTGATACCTGTCTCCCAGATCTATACTAAAAAAACAACAGTGGAGCAGGATGGTGCAATGAGAAGAGAATGAGCTTGTGAGCTGCAGACAAACAAGAGTTGGAATGAATTTCTGCAATTTCAGCCAGACTTGTATTAATTAATCAGTATGCCTATTAGCCATACAAAATTAATAGCTAGACAGAAGCTATAAACTTCACAGGACAGCACAGTTCTCTGGTACTGGTCCTTTTATTTCTAAGGAGTGAAGGAAAGTTTCTTCTACAGAATTCCTGAGAAGAAAATGGAATAAGAAAACCCATTATTTATCCAATTTTTTTAGTTACTTACTGTTTGTAGAGTAGCTTGCTTATGTGTGGTGGTTTTTTTAAAGGCTATTAGAAAGGAATGCTTTTGAAGATTATACAGAAAAGAATTTTTAAGGATTGTTTCAGCATGTTCAGAAGGTATCAAAAGGAAGGTGTTTTCTTTTGGTCTAACTAGCTGAATTTTTCTGTAAAGGAGGAAAAGCATCTAATGATTGTTATTAAGACCCTCAAGAAGCAGATGAGTTAAACCAAGCAACTAGTCAGCACCAAAATAAGCTCATACACTCAATCAGTGCTTAGGAGATTATTTTTCACAAATGACTCCCTCTGTCTTTGACTTCTTAGGCTTGATTCTAAAAGGAGACCTGCAGAACAGCTTCAGCAGGCAAGGCTGGGAACTAGGATTCATAATTTTACCGGACATTAGGAATCATTCTCACTGATGGCAGTGAGTTTCTCCCACCCTCAAACTTGGGCTAAATTCCTCCTGTTGCACAGAGGGCAGCTGTCTGTTACCATTTTCTGCTCCACGTGGGTTTATGGCTTGCCACCTTTCTCCTTGCCTACAGCCCCCTGCTTTATAAAAGCTAAACCTTATTTTCTATTGCGTTGTCTAACACATTAGCGTAATTACATTCAGAATGCTTTTTTTTCCAACCTGTATTTAACTTGAAGATTGTATTATTTGTTCTGGATGTTTTTGGAACTGAAGGGGGACTGCGTGTCTGACAGCTTGCTTGTCCTTTCCAAGTACATCTTTTATTCAACCCAGTGATACTACCTCTCTGTACAAGTACTGGCATTGTACTGTTCTTAAATTGCAGATCTCGTCTCAACACTTAGCTGGATTGTATACGTACTATCATTATTTACCTGTCATCGTTTTGGCCTTTTTTGTTGATGGTAAAGGTTTCCCTGCTGTTTGTATTCTAGATAGGAGTCCGAAAAGTGTTTCTTAAGTACTGGCAAGCTGACCATCTCAACGATTTGTGCCTTCAGCTTCAGAAGAAAATTATTACCTGCCAAAAAGGTAACGATTACAGAACAAGTATTCCTGAGCTGTTGCTTTGTACACTGGGCAGAATATTGCATAAGAAAAAAATGTCTCTTCCTTGAATAGTTACTGTATTTCGTACGTTTCCCTACAGACATATTTCCAGCTAACTACTTATAAAGATTTTTTCAGATGATACTAACATTGGTGATGCTTGCACTTTCTGTCTGTCAAACATAATTTTATGGCAAACTGACTGTAATTAAAACTTAGGGGATCTTGAATATTTCCTTTTTAAAGTATGTTCAGTGATTTTTCAAGGCATTAATATCACCTTTAACTTCTTGTTGCAAATCAAAGGGCATAACAATGATACAAAATTGCAATGTGTTCAAATATATCAATAGTGAATACAAAGCTAATAATTTAATATGTTTAGTTGTCTTTATTTTCCCCTTTTCTTACAGCTTTCATATTTGACAGTGCTTGTTTTTTTATGTTTAGGCATTTTTTCCCCCTTTTATGCCTGCATTTTTACTTAGGTCACACTGACATTTTTTGGCACATTTTTAAAAGGAGGCATTATCCACTGCCTCCTGATTTCCTGTTACTTCTTTTTCATTTCCTATCAAAATCTCAAATAACTACTGAAAATGTGAATATTTTATTGTTTGAAGAAGCTTCCTTCACACAATGCATTATTTATGTAATTGGCTGATGTCTGCAACAATTCCCATTATCACCTTTTTAAAGGAAATTAAAAAGACAAAGACATATCTTGGGGTTTTTTTAGTCAGATACATAATATTGCAGAGTTATATGTATAAACCCCTTTCATTTTAACTATCTTGGTCTAACTAGCTGAATTTTTCTGTAAAGGAGGAAAAGCATCTAATGATTGTTATTAAGACCCTCAAGAAGCAGATGAGTTAAACCAAGCAACTAGTCAGCACCAAAATAAGCTCATACACTCAATCAGTGCTTAGGAGATTATTTTTCACAAATGACTCCCTCTGTCTTTGACTTCTTAGGCTTGATTCTAAAAGGAGACCTGCAGAACAGCTTCAGCAGGCAAGGCTGGGAACTAGGATTCATAATTTTACCGGACATTAGGAATCATTCTCACTGATGGCAGTGAGTTTCTCCCACCCTCAAACTTGGGCTAAATTCCTCCTGTTGCACAGAGGGCAGCTGTCTGTTACCATTTTCTGCTCCACGTGGGTTTATGGCTTGCCACCTTTCTCCTTGCCTACAGCCCCCTGCTTTATAAAAGCTAAACCTTATTTTCTATTGCGTTGTCTAACACATTAGCGTAATTACATTCAGAATGCTTTTTTTTCCAACCTGTATTTAACTTGAAGATTGTATTATTTGTTCTGGATGTTTTTGGAACTGAAGGGGGACTGCGTGTCTGACAGCTTGCTTGTCCTTTCCAAGTACATCTTTTATTCAACCCAGTGATACTACCTCTCTGTACAAGTACTGGCATTGTACTGTTCTTAAATTGCAGATCTCATCTCAACACTTAGCTGGATTGTATACGTACTATCATTATTTACCTGTCATCGTTTTGGCCTTTTTTGTTGACGGTAAAGGTTTCCCTGCTGTTTGTATTCTAGATAGGAGTCCGAAAAGTGTTTCTTAAGTACTGGCAAGCTGACCATCTCAACGATTTGTGCCTTCAGCTTCAGAAGAAAATTATTACCTGCCAAAAAGGTAACGATTACAGAACAAGTATTCCTGAGCTGTTGCTTTGTACACTGGGCAGAATATTGCATAAGAAAAAAATGTCTCTTCCTTGAATAGTTACTGTATTTCGTACGTTTCCCTACAGACATATTTCCAGCTAACTACTTATAAAGATTTTTTCAGATGATACTAACATTGGTGATGCTTGCACTTTCTGTCTGTCAAACATAATTTTATGGCAAACTGACTGTAATTAAAACTTAGGGGATCTTGAATATTTCCTTTTTAAAGTATGTTCAGTGATTTTTCAAGGCATTAATATCACCTTTAACTTCTTGTTGCAAATCAAAGGGCATAACAATGATACAAAATTGCAATGTGTTCAAATATATCAATAGTGAATACAAAGCTAATAATTTAATATGTTTAGTTGTCTTTATTTTCCCCTTTTCTTACAGCTTTCATATTTGACAGTGCTTGTTTTTTTATGTTTAGGCATTTTTTCCCCCTTTTATGCCTGCATTTTTACTTAGGTCACACTGACATTTTTTGGCACATTTTTAAAAGGAGGCATTATCCACTGCCTCCTGATTTCCTGTTACTTCTTTTTCATTTCCTATCAAAATCTCAAATAACTACTGAAAATGTGAATATTTTATTGTTTGAAGAAGCTTCCTTCACACAATGCATTATTTATCTAATTGGCTGATGTCTGCAACAATTCCCATTATCACCTTTTTAAAGGAAATTAAAAAGACAAAGACATATCTTGGGGTTTTTTTAGTCAGATACATAATATTGCAGAGTTATATGTATAAACCCCTTTCATTTTAACTATCTATTCTTCACTGTGAGCACAGAGTGAAAAAGAGGAAACCAAGAGACAACTTGAAGCAAGTGGAATCAAAATCATAGCAGTTCAGGAATGAACGTGGAGAGTGACAGTTAACACAGGCCACAGTTCAGCAGGATGTATAACTTGTGCCTGATATTTTATACAAATCACCCTGTGGTATTCACGCATTTAGAAAAGCAATAGTGATTTATCCTCTTTCCCTTCTCATGCTGACTTATCAAACAAAGGAAATATTTACCTTTCAGAGTCTGATTTGCAAACAGAGTGCTTTAATATAACCCTACACCAAAATGTAAAACATCCTTAGATACGCCCATATTTTGCAGAGGTAAGACAACAGACATCTGCCAAACCCTGCCTGAAGAATGAACATAATAGGTCTTCTTGGCTCCTTACAAAAATATTTATTTTGTTTTTGCTTCTAGCCCTCCTTAATTAGGCTAACTTGAAAAGTTATTTTCACCAAAACTATGTGTTCAAAGCTTTTTTCAAAGCTATGGCTCATCTGCATGTTTTTTATGGTCTGGAAAACCTGAGAAAATCCGGAACTTGCATGAGCAAGGAGTAGCTAGACATCCATTTCACGACGTTAGCTCATGAAATAAGCTGCCCTTTGCAAACAGGTACAATTGTAAACTTGCAGAATTAGCATGCCAAAGAATTCTGGCAGGTTGGGAATGGGATAGGGTAACTGTGCACTGTTCTTATGTAATCCTAAAATTGGAATCCATAGACTTTTACACTGGGATGGTGATGCTTAGTGAGTAAAGGTATCAGTCCTGCTGCATATCCACATTTTTCTCCCCTCATCCTTTGCATCCAGAGGACTTTGGAAGCTAAATCTCTCTTGACACCATATTGACTAATAGCCAAACTAGTCAATAATTTCTGTATCAGGCTTAAAATGTAATGTCATATACCCAAAAGAGGACTTAACTCAAAGGGAAAACAGGTCTTGCCCAAAATTCTTATCAACTGTTTTTACCTCAGTCTTACTAGCAATCCTTTCAGCATTTCCATAAATTTTGGGAAAAACAAAAAATAAACCAGATAAGTCTTTTTCTGTTATCCTGAAAGTTAACTTGCACAGGCAAAGAAAGGGGTCAAACTAAAGTGACAGCATGTGTAGAAACACTTTTTATTTAAAAACGGATCTATGAGTTTAGGGACTTTATCATATTTTTTTCACAGGTATGAGAACTATATATGGGAAGTTTTGATCTTATTGAATCACTGAGAAAATTGTTTGTACCTGTAGGAAAGTCCATCATGCTGAAGTTCTTCCATCAGAGTTCATGTGAATTAGGAATTAGCTTTAGTACATTGTATACACAAGAGTCAATACATTTCTCACATAACCCAGAACTAGGGTCTACTTGAATTTTGATTATTCTGATCCTTATCCTTAGATGAACTGTAAAGAAGTAGATATTTTCCTGCCCTGTGGGTGCTAACCCCAATTATTTTAATTTGCATAAGTGAGAATTATTTTAGATCTACATAAATGAGGAGCAAGTTCAGAAGACAATCTTAGTACCCGTACAGTAGTAGATGAAACTGAGCAGTAAAGGTCTAGGAGATGACAATTTCATTTCACAGCAGTTTTTGAGATTATGAATTTTTTTTTTGTTCTCTGTTGAACTGAAGACAAAATCTTTCATATGTTCTCATAGAGAAGGAAATGCGGCGAAATGTCCATCTTCTAATGAAAACCTGAGCTACTCAGTTCATGAAAATGTGTGCAAAAGAAAACAGGAGTGTCTGTCTGCCAACCCTTCCTGACAAAACTTTGTTGAATGTTTCTTCAAAACATCCCAATTTTGATGAAAGTGCATAGTTCAGAGTAGCTGTACAGTCTTTAAATGCTACAGCTAGCTGTACTGGATATCATTTTACTGGACCATCCTAGCAGGCTACTCTGCATCGTTCATGCCTGCTAACAATCCTACCAGAGGACTGACCTCTGTTTTTCCTGTTCCTAATCGTCCTTAGTGGTGTTATCGACCCTTTTTTTTTTGTCAAGGTAAAAACACACACGTACACACACACTTGTAAAAATGTTACTTTAAAATACAGGGTTTTTTCCAAAGTCATCCAGGATTTGATGCTTAACCATTTGTCAAATACCCTATCTGCTCTGCAGCAGATAAGTCTAAAGAAAATACCAGAAGTGAGGGAACAATTTTTGATTATTATGCTCTTTTGAATTTTTCATACTTGTGAGCAGTGAACTCTGATAATGTTCTACGCATGTATTCATTACCTTTGCAACAGCAACGTTATGAATTCAGACTCAGTAACGTGTATATCCAATGTGAATACTCTCAAAAAATTGTCAAGAAATAGCTGTATTACTAATTTCCTTTTCAACTAAATTGGGTAAGTGCATTAATGTTTCAGGGTTTAAAGAAGTCAGATTTTATAGAATGTAACCAAAGGGGTTGAAAATGGCATGGCTGGCTGTGGTTATAAAAATGTAAACCTTCAAAGTTGTCCATTATGAATAATCTCAAAGTGCCTGAACTTGAATGTTTTCAAACCCAGTGAATTTTGGATAGGAGCAGTATTAGCATGTTAACATTAACCTTTCATATGTTTCATCAGCTGGGCACTGAGCATCTCTAAAAAAAATCTTACTTTAAATATTTAAACAAGGACATAGAAGGTGGTAGAAAATACTGTACATTGCCCTCTGTTTTAGCTGTTTATTTTATTTAATAACATTTTACATTCATAGAAGGCTAATTATATCTTTCTCTGTTTACATTTTTCCTTTAGATGAATTCAGCTTGACTCTTTGTCATTTGATGTTGTTCAGCAGTGTTCCTAAGACTGAAATTTAATTACATTGTTAAAAAGGTCTAAGGCATTTTAGCATTTTTTTACCTTCCAGTCTTTAATATTAACATTTTCAGTTTTTTCCCCCAAACTCAAACCAACATCTTATACAGGCTATTGCCTGCTAACTTCACTTATAAAAAACTTTCAGTGACCAGAATGAGAGTAACCATAATAAGCAACGATGAAGTTCAACCTATTTTTGATACATGTAAGTTGATGTACTGAAAATCAACAATATTTCAGGCAACAGGTGAATAATTCTAGAACAGGTTCTTCCCTGTGAGGTACACAGCAGTTATTCCAGATCTGGAAAGAATCAGGATCTGTGGAACTTAAAAAAACCAAACCACAAATAAAACACCTTTAGTTAGCCTGTCTCTTCCTTCTAAGCCAAAACATACGCTCAGAGAATACTAATACTACCTTGTTGCAGATGGAGTGATTAATTTGGTGCTGAAGTTAATCATGGCCAGAGAGGTCCCTGTGCCTTATGTTTCTGATCAGCTGGGTACTTCTGAAAATTGAGGGGACTAGGTGGTATTTAGGTTGAGTAGAATTTGTTGTGATGAATGTACATACTTAGGAAAGTAGTACAGAAAGCTATTATAGGAGATACACCAGAATCTTCTCCCAACATAAGGCTGACAAAGAGTGTGAAAACCAGGCCTAATAGATACATAAAGCTGATGCAATGCAGATGAAAATTTTAAACTGAAAGATGCAGACATGATGTGACAGATACATTTGAGAAATTTGCATTAAATTAATCTAATTGTTTTTGCTGAAAGAAAATGAGCAACAAAAGGTCTTTAAGTCTCAAAACGCTTTAAGTTTTGATTTTTTTTAGGTACACCAAAATATTTAAAGCATTTTTTTAAGCTGACTGAAAGCAAATGAACATTTCATTCTTACTGCATTCAATGCAACAATCATTTATTCAGGGTTTTGTTTTGAAACAAGTGATCTTTTGACCTTTGCAGTGTAAATGTATGCTTTCACAATCTGTAGCATACATCTGAGTTTCCAGTTGTAATGTAATAAAAAATAATGTTCAGTGAAAGTAAACATAAATAAATTTATGAAAGAGTTTACTATCACTACTTTGTTTTAAGCACTGACAGTAGAAAGCAGAAAGAGTTCCATTTTAGTATGTTGTTTATATGCCGTCACATTTCTTTCGTTCTTTGTGTAAGATGTTGACTGAATTTATTTGCTCATGTTTACAGCAGAACACACAGTAATATTAAGTTATTCACTAATTAGTTGTCTTTCTTTGGTCCATAATTTTTCCTTCTATTATGGTAGTTGTAAGAGGATTTCTAGCTCGCCAGCGCTTGCTACAGAAGATGAGCATCAAACAGCAAGAGGTCACCTCAATCAAAAGCTTCTTGCAGAACGCTGAGGATATGGGATTGAAAACATACGATGCCTTGGTCATTCAAAATGCTTCTGACATTGCTCGGGAAAATGACCGGCTCCGCAATGAGATGAACGCTGCTTACCACAGGGAAAAGTTAGAGGCTAGAAACAGACCAGAAGAAGGCCACAAAAGGTAAGATGAGGAAACATCAACTGTGAAGAATTAAAGCATTTCTTCAGTTTTAGTGATTTTTTCCCCTGCTTAGAAAGTCACAGAAATGACTGAGGAATTGCAAGAGGATTCTCAAGTATATACTCAATCCAAATCAATGTTAGACACTACTTTTTTTCTGTATATCAGGTAATTAAGTCTAGAAACTTAAGGACACCCCTTATATCCTATTCAGGGGACACTGAGCTTTATAGGAACTTATTCAAGTCTCTGAGGCATTTATTTTTTACAGAAATATTTTTTAATTCTAAGATAAATAGATTATAGTTGAACTTTCATCAAACTAAGCAAACAAAAGAAAAATTCCTCTAACTTAAAATCCCAACAGTGGGAAATTACCAAGATAGTGAAAAACAGCTAGGAAGGCGCTAAAATACAATAAAGTCTGGACTAAGAAATCCTGATTACACATTGAACTAGATAGATTGATTGTGAGGAGGATTCTTACCTCTTATTTAAAAATAGGAAAATGTTTTTCTTTAACTCCCATCAGAGTTTTCAGGAGTGCCTATTTTACAGATCCAGCAAATGCTGGAGAGCGTTTCTCTAGAAACTGAGTCCCTGATCTCTTTTCTCTCAGACACCTGAATGGGCAGAGGTAGCATTTGCAGTTAACAGGTATGTGTCTATAGCAGGAATGTGTCTATAACTTGCTGGACATATAAGTGTTTATTTTTCCATAGGAACTTAATTTTCATCCAGAACAACTCCCTTTGCTTTCATTGCTTTTGTCAGTGACTTTTATTAAAGTGAAAATGGCAGTGCATCTGCTTAATTAGCTTCAGATATCCCAGTGATTACATATTGGAGGAAATGCCTTTGTAGGAAAGACTGTAATTAAACGTTACAGTGAAAACAAATTATCCACTGAGCACCATGCTTTCATCTTTAGCTATTTCATTTACTACATGGGCAGCTGGCTATATCCTGTGCATGAATTCCAGCTCTGCTGGTGATTTGCCATGCAGAAATACAATTTAAAAAAACAAATTACCAGGGATTTGTTTGTAAAATGACAGTATAGACATCTTCTATCTAATACTTTACCAGTCTAAGTTAAAAGATTTTCAACGTTTTGATTTTTGGAGGAATAAAATGTTAGAAGAATTTTTGTGAAAAATCAATTTGTTGGAAGCAGCCGATAAACATCATTTCTCAATACGTATTGAAATAGCAAACAAAAAGGAAAAAATTGGAATAAGTAAAACTCCAAAACTGCGATTGAAATAACTAAGCATAATTTCATGATTAATATAATTAAAATGAGAACTAATAATTAAGCTTAAACAGGAAGATATATAGATATCTGGGTGGAATCGTTCAAGCAGCCAATGTAGCTGGTTAAAAAAGTCATCTAATATTTTAAAGATTTGTATTATCTAAATAGAATTTATAGTTCTCTTTTTAGAAAATAATGATAAAGGTTCAGCATTTGCTGCCTCAGTAACTTTCTATTAAAATGGATTTCCCAGAAATTATCATTCAGATTGAAAACCCAGCTTTTGATTGTGTGTAACAATCAAAGTGTGAACAATTCATTCAGTGAATGTCTGATCAACAATATGAAACTGCTTAAGGCAGGCTGCATTTGTGTGAAAAAGGGCCAGTGTCCTGATTTATCATGAAACAGGAAATGGAAGAAAGCTAGCAGCTTGATCTGGATTTGTTTGTCAGAAGATTGCTACACACATCCCCTCGACACAGCAGGGGAGTTGTGAGATTGTTTACCAAAAAGCTGTTGTTATGTTTGCATGAACAGGTTCATTGTTATCGCTTGAATAATGCATCTGGGCCTCTTTTCTGTGTTTTCAGAGCTGAAGACAAGGGCGGGAAGGTCTCTGAGGACAGCTTTGCCGGCTGTCGAACGCCTAAGCACTTTCATTCCAGCTCCGTCCCTGTCCCCATGGCGGGGGGCGGGTTGGTACATTCTGCGGCTGGGTCATCCATCAGATCCCCCTCCCTGCACTCTGTGTTCAGCATGGATGATAGCAATAGCCTGCCATCACCAAGGAAACAGCCTCCTCCCAAACCAAAGAGGGACCCCAACACACGACTGAGCGCTTCGTACGAGGCTGTTAGTGCTTGCTTGTCGGCAGCTTCTAAGGAAACCGCTAATGAAGGTTAGGCATAAAGGGAGAAACAGTCGCAAATGTTACTCTAGGTTATTGATTTATTCTTTTCTCTTTGATCCTTTTTAACACAGTCAAGTGCCTTTGAAAAGTCCCGCTTCCCTCAAATATTTCAGTGGCAGTAAATAAAATTAGTCAATTTGTCATTTGTTTCCAAATCAGCAAATAATACTCATGTGTTTTAATTGCCTAGTTTGTCAACAACCAAAACCTATTTGCAGAACTCCCTCTAGAGACAAATGATCTCTGTCAACTTGAGCTATTCTACCCCACTGACTGTTTTTTAAACTGTATGTTAGAATACCTTGCACCACTAAAACAGAATGCTCGAATCTTGAATTTCACAAGTTAAACATTAAACTTTCTCCTGCTTTTTCTCTATGTTCACATGAGTAACATGCATTCAGTGGTTTATGTTTGTGCCGTAACTTGCTTATAGTGAATTTTTTGTTTAGAAGGAAAGTGCTATGAAAGTCCCAAAGTGTCTCAATGCATTATAGTGCATATAGAACAGTTTTGAGTTGTTCTATTCTCCTTCACCCTTGAAATGAATGAGTAGAAGACGAAGGGGAGGAATGCATTCTACTTTTCCTTGATAAGCCTGACTTGTCATGCTTTGTGGAAAGGATTCTCTAGACTTATCAGGGAAGATCCTTCAGGTTGGGTTTAAAGCTATGTATAACCATTCTCTAATCCTGCATACAATGGATGGAAACCTTTGCAACTTCCTTTTGCAAAATAATTACTGTTCTCCTGTCCAGTTCATTAGATGCAAGTCCATTTTTCTTAACCTCTTCCTTGCTCATTCAAGCTCTGTGTAAGGAGAGATGAACTGTGTCCAATACACTTTTAAACTAGCATGGCTTAAGGAGCTCTGTAGTGGTTTTGGCTTTCAGTGCCCAGCTCTGCAAGACATGATTGATTTAACCAAAAAGATCTAGCAGAGGTTTTTGAAAGAATGACAATTTATATATGTATGTGTGGTCTTAACACTAATGCTTGTATACACTCACAAAACAACTTCGGAATTCTTCTCATATGTATGAAACAATAGGGCCAGTTTCCCTGCTGTATACGCATTTTCCAAGAGTTATGTTAGTTTCCTGAGTCTTTGTCCAAAACCAGCTTTGATTTACATTATCTGATTTCGATCTTAAAAGACCAATCACCTAGGTATCTAGTCTCTCCACTCCATATGTGCCTGGAGGCTGTGAAAAGACATCTAGTTTAGTTAACTGTATACTCAGTTGGGGAATTGCCCTTAGGCTATGGGATTTCCTAACTTTATAAATTATTTCCACACCTGCAGTACAAAAGAAGAGATAGGCATAATATCTGCCTATAATTAGAGTTTTATAGGTATTACATAAAAGGGGGATACTTCAGTTACTGGCAGTAACATGTGTCAAAGTAGCACCATGCTGAAACTCCTAGTTAAAAGCATGCCCCTCTCCCTTGGTGCAAAAGGAATAACAAGCACATATTTCCATGTGTTACAGATCTTGCAGTGAACATTTGGATTCAAAAGATATCTCAGGTGTTAGTTCTCATCTTTTAGTGGCAGCAGAGATTACCAAAGCAGATTATACGCACAGGTAGCAAAGGCTTGTGGTTTGGAAGCTGAAAGTTCTGCATTTCATTCCTTGATTTTTACTTTTGACTGAATCCTTGTGTTTGTGACCGCTGCTAATTGTAAAACTATATGGGCAACATTTGAAGGCTTAAAGTACTGGACCTGTGTAAGAAAAAAATGACTTTGATCTGTTAATAACACAGACCTTTTTCACTTTCCTAGTACTGACCCGTCCAAGGCCACACAGTGATGACTATAGTACCATGAAAAAAATACCTCCCAGAAAACCAAAACGAAGTCCCAATACAAAACTTAGTGGCTCTTATGAAGAAATACCTGGCCAAAAGCCTGCGGATGTAAAACAGGCAAGCACAGTAGCTAAACCAGGTGGCTATGACACTGTGACAGTACAGAGAGCAGCTTCTGCTGATGGGCCACAACATGGTGTGTTGAGTCTCTATATGTCACAAGAAGAGGAGGAAAATGAGCCTGTCTATATTGAAATGGTAGGGAATGCAATGAAAAGCAGTTCTGCTGAAGCAGAAAGCCCAGAACAAGGAGAGTCTGTATATGAAGAAATGAAGTATTTTCTACCGGAAGAAGGAAGCAATGGTAGTGGAGTAATTCCAGTAGTGACTGGATCTCCTCCTCTGTTGTTTGAAAGCAAAAAAAATGTTAACGTTGAAGATAGAACATTGGATGGAAACAGTCAAGCAGCTTTGATCTATAAAGACTCATGTGACATTCCAGCCCCTTTCCCTAACTTGCTCCCCCACAGGCCACCACTTCTTGTATTTCCGCCAACCCCTGTCACATGTTCACCTGCTTCTGATGAATCACCTCTAACACCACTAGAAGTCAAAAAGCTTCCTGTCTTGGAAACCAACCTAAAATACCCTGTGCAGTCAGAAGGCTCAAGTCCATTATCACCACAATACTCCAAAAGCCAGAAAGGGGAGAATGAAAGACCAGCATCTCCAGGCTTGGTTGTGTTCAATGTTTCCAGCAAAGTGACTCCTCCTTCCACACCACCTCCTTCTCTCCCACCACCCCCTCCTCCTGTACCACCTCCTATTTCCTACCGGGCATCCACACATTTTGCATTTCCTCCAGAGACTTGTGCTAGCTTTCTGATTAACACAGGGAAAACAGGTACAAACTCAGACCTGTCAAAAGTACCTCAGAGACCAAATCCTGCTCAGCTTGGATGCTCATCTTCTCCATTCTCCAAACTGCCTTACTCCCCAAAGTTGGCAAGAGCAGATCACAGGAAATTGAACTCAAATTCGTCATCTTCATTTCCATACAGCCCTACAAACTCAAGGTCATTGACCAGTCCCCTTGATGAGTTAACTAGCTTGTTCAACTCAGGACGGAGTGTGCTACGAAAATCTGCAGCAGGACGTAAGATCAGGGAGCCAGAAGGTAAGACAGATCTCTCTGCTTCTGTATAGTGTATTACTTCTGCACCAAAACTTTCTTACACTGGAAGCTGATAGAGTAGGTAAAAATACAAAAGAAAACCGTTGTTTGGGGTTTTTTTAAAGAACGATCTGTTGTAGTCATAAGAAATGCATATAGAAAATACATTGCCTATAAAAATTTTAGGTCTTCAGGTTTTCTCTGAGATGTCAACTTTTCTTTTACCAAAATGTTTGTATGACACAAATTTAAATGGATTATTTTTAACATTCCAGCAGTCTCAGTAAAATAAACACAGATGTTACATGATGTGAAAATGAGTTTATGGTATCAATCTATAGAAATACTTTGAATGAAATGTATGGCTAGGCGTTTGGTAGATAGCATGTACTTTAATTTGAAGCCTTTCTTTTAAGGTTTCATTATTTCATTTCCAAGAAATTCTGAATTTAGCGATACAGCCATTATTATTCTCCTAAATAAAGCCAAGACAGAGAGTTATGCAGCAAACTATATTTATTTCCCTTTTCTATCCTTTTATTCTTACCTTTCCTGTCATTTGCATACACTTATGTACATACCCAGAGATTACTTTGTATCCTGGCTTTCTGGCATCTGTAGTATGTCTTTCATATCTAGTGCAAAAGCCAACTATAAAAAGAAGCAAACTTGCCATTTTGCTAAAGGTTTTTTAGACCACAGTCCTCAGACATTATCACTTAATTATTTGCTTTGTCCAGGTAATAAAGGGTTTAATGTTGTTACTGGAACAAATCTATGGATCTTGCGAATACTGAAAATTCATTCTGATGTTAACAGATTCAATTAGCCGCTCTGTAAGGGTGAGATGCTTCTGACCTAACTTTGTCCATCTAAAAGCTCGATATGTAGGCATCAAATCCTTAGCCTATGAAGAGACAGTCATTTTGAGAGTTTAATTCCTTCCATATATCTTTCTCCATTGGGTATGAGGAAAGCCTAGATGATTAAACTAGTCGAGTTGTAACTTCTAAGTGATTAAAGTTGAAGTAAATCCTGGTTCTGCATATCAATTACAACACTGACTCCAGTCTTCACATTACTTTTCTGATTTAAAAAAAAAGTCTCCTATTGAAAATAGTCAGTGCACTGTATACATAAACTTGTTTCCCTAGTAGCATCTCCCAAACATGAAATTTTGTGAATTTAAAATTCAGAATGATAAAACCTCTAGACTGTTTTCTCTGCTTCTTCACTTCTGTCTGCCCAAACAGCTTGTCTTAATCAAGAGCTGTGTGCAACATATTCAAAATGCGCAATATGAAGTCCTATTTTTGAAATAGAAAACAAAACAATAGATAACGGGATAGATTATCTTCTTATTCATTGTCCATTTTCTTAAATACATACTGCTCCATTGATTTCAGTTTCATATCCTGATTTATGCAGATATAATAGAACAGAAGCAGGTTTTTGTGCTTACTCTGGATATGTGTATGTCTGTCTGTGTGCCGCCCTATCTCTCTATCCCTATGAGCCTTGGCAGCCTTCAGCCAAAACCCCTTTCAACCAAATACAACAAGGAGATAAAGGTCTCAAAACTAATTAAGTTTCTACAGGTTTCATGAAAGTTAGTGGCTAGGTGGAGATGAGAGACTTATACTGGGAGAAAAGCTCCTACCAGCTATCAGAGAAACTGTGGTGGACAGAACCCTTGTGAGTCCTCCAGACCTTGAAAAAGCTTTAGCTGGACCTTGCATGTTCTTAGATGCCAAATTCAATCAGCCGTGAGCTATGAACTCAGTTCTCAACCTCAAGAGAATGCCTTGTTTGTTATTCTGAGTATATGAATTGATGAAATTTGTAAAGGAGATGTTGCAGTAGTTTTGCTTGCTTTGGCAAAATTACTTGATAACATCCAATGCCTATAAATGTATGTAGAGTTTTTGTTTGTTTGTTTGTTTGTTTGTGTTTGTTTGTTTGTTTAAGTCGGGGGTCTTGTTTTATTACGTAGATATTACACTTTTATCTGCTGGGAAGTAACTGTTAAAGTCAGCTCTTTGGATATATCTTCTCAAGGCTCTCTCAATGTACCTGGTGAGGAAGTGTGGTAAGCCTACTCCAACAAAGTCACAAAACTGACCTTTACTTTAAAAAAAAAAGTTTCTTTGGGATGGAGGATATTTGCAAACTCAATTTTCAACTTTATGTGACCAAGATAGAGTTCAACTTGGGTCTCCTGTGGGTTGAAGCTAGTGCATTAACAGAGGCTACCATATAAAAACTCTAAATTTACCTTTCGCATGGAAAATGTTGTACTTCTAAATATTTAATCAAGGCAGCACTAAGTATGAAAGATCAAAGTTCAAGAAAGATATACAGTAAAAAACCTGAATCAATATTTTATGAGCTAGGAAACTACTGTATAATACTAAGTGCGGTTACATATGAATGTTCAATGATGAGCAGATGGATTGAAAGTAACAAAGAAATACAGGTGAATGTATGTGCATGTTTTTACAATTTGCCTTTTTTCATGTACTTCATGTGCTCAGTTCATTTCTAGGGTAACAGCTGGAAAAAATATCTTTTATTTAACCTCTGATGCAAAGTAATAGGATGGCAATCAGCAAAGCTGACTCTGTTATGTAAAACTAGAAGTTGTCCATGTCTTACCTCCTGATTTTTTATCACCTATTGCCTAATGCATATTAAGTTCCTGGAAGACTCCTCCATTTCTTCTTTTTGTCATTTGTAGTATTTTGTTTATAGGTGATGGTATGGTAAAAAAAATTAAATTAATTTTAATAGAAATTCATTATAATTGAAGACATGGCCTAGAGCAGCATTCTGTAATGTGCAATTTCCTTTATTTCCATAAGTTATAACCTACCAACAACCTTAACTAAAAACAGAAAATAAAATTGTGGGCCATTTTGAAGTCAAGGAGAGTTAGCCTTGGGAATCAATAAGTTTCTGAATGGGATCATCAGCCTTTGAGATAAAAGCCTCCTTGCCAATAAAAGTGCAATACAGACAGATCCCCCAGCATGCCTCCCTCTTGCCTGGAGGAGTAAATTCAAGGCCTGAGAACACTGACATCCTTTTGGCTCCTGACCTCTCCGTGGGAAACGATCGTCCAGAATTACAATAGAATGGATTCGTGGTTTTCTGATGGACTGTGGACTTATTGTGAACTGAACTGAGAGCACTCTTCTTTCACACAGGCAACAAAAAAAATAATCAAATGGCAACAATTTTCATGACCTGGTGGCCTAGCCTGGCCATTTTTTTTCCCCAACAGTAGCATCTACTGGTTCAAGCAATGATCAGGATCATATAGTATGCAATTTCTTGCAAAATACTTTACATGTAATAGGAGAAGTTTTCTGCTCTGCAGAGCTTATAGTTTAAATAAGCAAAACTGTAACAGGTGAGAACTGAGATAAAGTGATTTCTCCAAGGTTGAAAAGAGTTGTCATTGAAGCTACAGCTGTATTGTTAGACAGGGATTTCCTTTTACTCCATATAAAACAAGACTTGAGTGCGGATAAGCGATAATACACACACACAATTTTCTTCTATTCTCCCTGATTTCTAGAAGTAGAAACTTTAGTTTGCGAGACAAATAGAAACTGAATGGTCATGTGCAGAGGTCCTACTCAGATATTTCTAGACAGGGCCTTAGATTTGGAACTAGACTTCACGAAAGCCAATTCAATGCCTTAATCACGAAACCACACTCTCTAGCAGAATGTACAAATATTTTTATCTATTCAACATATAAGACATTCCTTATGTAAGGAAGAGACAATTACATGTTTAAGCATTTCATATTAAATATTTGTGAAGCAAGGACAGAATTTTCTTTTCCTCAACATGGATGAATGATACTCAGATTGCTAGGTCCTAGTGTTATTTGTCTTGATTGGTACAGTTGAAATTAAATTATTCCATACAAAGAGGAATCATTTCAGCTTCAGAACAAAAGATGGAATAATTCCCAGCCCATCATCCATGCTCAGATTGGCAGAGTGAGTATTCACGTGGATTCTAAAGGGAAAGGAGCAAAGGAAGTATGATTTTCCCTTAACCTGGATGAATTTCCTTACCATCAGGCTATTGAAATAAAGACTTAATGCCTTCTCTCCTTCCTGCTTGTTGAGAAAAGATTGGCATGGATGCTTGACTTCTGCATCTGAGCAAAAGAAAAAGTGTAAGCTTGCAACCCCGGATTTAGGTGCCTAAGAAATAAAATTAGGAAGATCTTTCCTTTATGTAGGTCATCAATGTATAGGCTTCCAAGTTTTGTGAATTATTGTTAGTATTACAGTACAAGTAGATCTGTATATGCAAGTCTATACATGCTTCAGTGACCTATTCCTTTCCAAAACAGTTTAGTAACTTATATAGTAACAACAGAAAAGGCATGCAAACATTAGATTGTTAACAAAATATTGATACTGTTCAAATGTTTGCCCAATATCTTTGGCATCCATTAACTATATGAATCCCTTCTTTACCTGCTTCCTAAGTGAGGTATTTCCAAGGCAAGTAGCTTCACATATCAGTAAATTACTCCACATCCTTCAGTTTAAGCACTGGAAGTCACAGGAAGATAGTTACAACTGACAAATAATACAGATATTTAGACATACCTAGTTGGGACTAATGCTTGCCAAACACTCTTTACTGAAATTGGCTCAAACTTGGAAAATAACAGTATTTAATGTGTATGTATGGGGAGTACTGTCCTGTCAAAGGCAGCAGCCCTTTGATAGCTAGTAAATAATTTCCCTCTATCAGCAGATTAGAGTAAGCTATTGTGCAGCTAACATCTGAGCAGTGGATTGCAAATTAAATCCCCACTGGGGTTTCTGAGATGAAATCTCAGTCCCTTATCCTCTAAGCCACTCAGCTTTTCCTCTTAAGCAACTTAATAAAGATAATATTCATATCTGCATCTCATTATTCCTACATTATATGGGTACAATGTAATAGTTTTACTTTCTTTGTGGCAAAAG